ATTAAGGATCTTATGAAAGTTTCAAAACTGCTTTTTCTACCGAACGTAGCCAATGAAATATCGGTTACGTAAGGATCTTATGAAAGTTTCAAAACTGCTTTTTCTACCGAACGTAGCCAATGAAATATCGATTACGTTTAGAAAGTGTGCTATCAGCGCTATTGTATCATTTTATTTTTGTCTTATTTATTGTTCATTAAGTATGAAACAAGGATAAAATGATGCAATGGCTCCTAAACGCTGGCATTGTAAGTCCGGATCTACAATAGGTGTTTTATGCCTTATGCCGTAAGAAACTGACCAATTACAGTCGAATCCGAGAAGAATAAGCGACTGTGATTCGCCCATTTCTTATGGCTTAAGGCTTAAAACCCTATTGTAGATCCGGACTAAACGGCACAAGAAACAAAAATTAAATTAATTGAATATTACATAATGATGATCGAATTGACAATGAGATCAAAGATCGAGATAATTTTTTATCAACTTTTTATTACTGCATTTTCTTATTTTTATCAACATGAGAAAATACGGTATTAAAAAATTCTGAAAAAATTCTCAGAACTTTACGAGAAGAAAATAAATAATTTTTGTCTCTTGCAGTTTTTGTGTAAAGTTGATAGTATTTGAGTAAAAAAATTATTCAAAACCAATATTTTGCAATTTTTAGTAATTAATATCTTGATAACTATTGCGAAAATTGCAAAATGGTGAAGGACTTTTCGACTCAGTTTAATCTGCTCTATTTACACAAAAGTGATTGGCAAAATAGGTCGGGATACCCTGTACAGGAATACGCCGAGCGGCCGAGAAAGTACATTTTCGGTTTTCGGTCGCTTGTAACAAGCGACTACGATACTAGAAGAAGCGAGACAGCGAGAGAGAGCGGCTCTTCGTTCTAATACTCGCTTGTAGAGCGAGAAAGACGGGCGCTGTCTCTCGCTGTCTCGCTCGCTCTCGCGGCGAAGACGGCCGACTCGATGCTGGTAGATGTCTGCTTAGTGGGGGTACAAGTGGTGGGGCTGGTTTTCCGTGTTGCTGGGAGCCAAATGTGCATCACTGGATCCAACCAATCATGTGGACAGCCCCGAAAGCCACATATAGGTTAGCCACAAAGAAGAATAGTATTCTATTCTAGGACGTTTGATCCGGTTATCCGGTCTCTCCGGAATCAGGACCACTCAAATAAGATGCTCTAGGACGTTTATAAAGATGCCATTAAATTACTACAAAGTGCTCGGCTGCAGCAAGGACTCCACTCAGGAGGACATTAAGCATGCTTATCATCGACGCTTATTGCAGTTTCATCCCGATAAAAATGATGCCGTGGATATTCAAGAATTTCATGACGTCAAGGAAGCCTGGCGAGTGCTCGGACATCCACAGTGCAGGAAAAAGTATGATGCAGCTTGCAAACAGGAACAGTTAGAGAAAGAAGACAGTCCTGTGTACGCGCGTCTCACGCCGAACAAACTTGAAGAATCTGATCTTGAGGACACATTGTTTTACCGCTGCAGGTGCGGCGAAAATTATTTCATTGAACGAGAAGCTCTTCGGAAAAAAAACACTGTGCTCCAAGTGATGTGCGACGGTTGTACACTTATTATCATTGTTGAAACATAGCACATTGTGTGATAATAGTTTATACAATAAAATAATCTTTGACAGCATCTATAGACTTTTTTAAAGAAGCCTATAAAATGACATTATTTTTTTTATGCAAGATAAAATTAAAAATGCGCTTTCTCTTTATCATGTAGTACGACAAGATAATACTCACAATATATAGAAAGAGGTCGAAATCGAACATTTATTTTGTACAAAATATGTTTTTTTAGCACAAGAACATGTGTACAGTTGTAATAAATTTAAAAAAAAAAACAAAATCTAAAATATCAGCAACATCTTTTTTCTATTTCTTATAAAAAAATGATACAACAGGTAACACATTCTTATAATATAAACTATTGAGCAATATACAAATAAACACGACACCTAGTCTAACCTAGGTCCAATAATAAAGATGCATTTGCACAAATTGTATTATTTGATAATGTCGTTCATGTTCATGACATGATTCAGTAGAATCCATATAAAATTCGTCAATGACAAATGATGCAATGTTTCTAAGTCTTCATTATACAATTCACACTAAATGTAAAGATCTGGCTAATACAAATATTCTTCCTTTATCAAATCAATATTGAACGTTTTAAACATTGTAATCAACAAAAACAAAGATTTAAAAAAATACCACCCTGTTCTATATAAGCTTGTACTCGTTCACTGTTTTTGTAAATCTGTATTGCACGCGAATAAGTGCGCTATATCTGTATATTGCACCATGATGAAGTGAAACAATATCGCGATATTGGAAGAAGTAGCTTTTCAATTGCAAAAAGAGAAAATTATTCAACGAATTTTTGAATCGTTTTACTTCAATATTGCCGAAAGATCATTCTCTTCCAATAAATGTCAATCGTATGAAAATATTGGCTCGTAAACATTTATAAAAATATTTGTTTTTAACCAGATCAATGTTTATAAGAAAGTAAAGTCTAAATTACATGATCAGGAAATATCGAAGCTGACAATTTGACAAAATTAATGTTGCAATATATAACAAACGTTTGAAATTTCTCGTAAAAAGATCTGTATGATCTCTTCGAAAGAGGTGAATTGTCGTCGACAGTTTTCTTGCTCCAGGAGGTATGAGATTCTTCGATTAATGTCATTTTGCCTTGCAGTTTCAGTACGTCTCAGTCGCCTCGATTTCGTCTGCCACCGTTGACAAATGCTCCTAAATGCCCACATAATAAACCTGTTATACTTACAATGAATCTCGTTAGGGATGTTTGCTACTTTTGCATCGTCGATGATTCTACTGAATCGTTATAACAGCGAAAATTCAGAAGTACACTGATAAGCTCCTCGCCCCCCCTCCCCCCTCCCCCCTCCCAATAAGTTCAGGAGTCTTATAAATCTTACGTTTGTACACCACAACAATGCGCGAGCGCTCCAGCAAAACGACATAATTATAATTTTTTCAACGGGCACTTTGAATCCATCTGAAGATACCTCTCTTATTGCCTTCAGTTTTTTCCCTTTCCTCCCATTCCCCCAACCCCCGCAAAAACTTTGCCCAATTTTACGTCGCGTACACAGTCTTATCACAATCACACCATGTAATACATAAATCATTGTACAGCGTGGATTAGTTTTTAGACTACTTAATTGAAAATATGTACAGAAGTCGTACAAAGGGAGCGATTGGATCCAAGTGGTGGAGCTCACTATTTTACCTCAACGTCGAAATCGAGGACAAGCAGTTTTGTTTCCTCGGTACCATTACGACTACCTACTGCACACACTAGTTTCGTATCACTCGCTCGAATCCTCCACACAACACCGCCGCTACCACCACTTTCCAGAGCAACTAGATTCCTAATGAAATCACCTGTGAACACAACACATGTTGTTCTTAACAATCGATGCCCATTCTAATCGAAAATAAATGGTGATAAAAAAATATACAAACCAGTCTTAACATCCCAGAGTTTTACTGTACCATCGTCAGAGGACGTAATCACAAAATGGCTATTGAACTGAAGGCAAGTAACTGCCGATTGATGTTTGTTCGGACCAGAGAGAGTTTGAAGGCAGTGACCGCTAACAATGTCCCATACTTTAACGGTAGAATCAGCATTGCCTGACACTAAGATATTATTGCGCAACTCCATCCCCGAGGTAAGAGATTGATGGCCCATCAGAGTATGTCTACAAGCACCTGTTTCTACCTCCCACACTCTTATACTCGTGTCCAATGATCCGCTAACAACGTGCACACCGTCGAACTAACAGGAAGGAAACGGCAAACGGACATTTGTCAATCCCGAAAGAGATGAAAAGCAAATCTAAGAGTAACACATATAATCCACTTACCTGGAGGGAATAAACACGGTTAGTATGTCCTTGTAAGGTATGAAGGCACTCCTCACGTTCCGGATTCCAAACTTTGACCATATAGTCGTAGGCACCACTGACCACCAACTTTCCATCATATTGCACACATCTAACTGCCGCTAGATGCCCCACTAGCACATGTAAGCACTCCCCTGTGTCCACCTGCCACACTCTTAGTGTCGCGTCTCTACTACCACTGACGACCTTGTTACCGTGTAGATGCATACACCTAACTGTTGATGTATGACCATACAATGTATAAATACACTGGCCAGTCTCTGCGTTCCACACTTTCAAAGTACGGTCTGTACTGCCACTGATAACAATTGTGCCAGACATCTGCGAAGACCACACACCCCCGGTATGCCCAACCAATGTCCGTAAGCACTGAAATAGTGTGAAAAAAACATAGGATATACATAATCTCCTCTCTTGTTGCTAACAATTAAATCTCGTATCATTACGCATTTATAATTTACCTTGCCTGTAACAGCGGACCATACTTTGAGTGTATTGTCATCTGAACCACTGACTATCCGATTGCCAGAGAATTGAAGGCATGTAATAACATGGTCGTCATGACCTTTCAACACTTTCGGTGTACGGATCGGCTTCGTCCTCCAATTCATTTTAATATTGTGCTGTCGCATGTAAGCCTGCTTCCACGGTGACGAGTGGCTACTGTTTCGACAGTTCTTTCGTTTCGGTGGTGGTAGATCTTTCAAGTCCTCTATACCAGCTGCCTTGCACTTCTCTTTCCACAGTAGATTGTCATCAGCTAGGAATCGCCAATTTCGGCAGGTTTGGGCAGCCCTCAGGAGATCCTTCGGCTCCAGAAATGCCAATACCGACAACGCCAACTCTTTCGGCAATAGCGATATAAAATCTCGTTGAAACTGCGGCTCTATCACCTGCATCATGTGACGCACCTGTGTGGGCTCGCATCTCTCTATTAGTTCGTCTATTGCTAACATCCTTTCCGCGTTTGACCATCTCTGCAATAAGTATCATTTTCACTTACTTTTTAAAAAGACCTGGATATAATTGATCACATTATTTTCTCTAACTCTATCGACATAATTTTTTGTTACTATTACAATATATAATAAAAATATTAATATTATTTATATATAAATACTTGAAATTGCAGAAGCCAACTGCTCATTTCTGGAGGAGGATTATCCTTGGTAGGAATGACACATCTCACGTGTTTACCTTTATCATCTAGCTTTCTTGCAGTCCTAAAACAGAAGGGAGGTATTAAAATGTAAAAACATATACCTATGTATAATTATATTTATGTAACAAGAAATATAATACATACATTGTATGAGACTTTTCTTCTGGATTAAGTTTTTTACAAGGTAGACAACACTCTGTTTCACTTTTTCGCTTTCTCTGAGGCTGAACAGCATCCGATGGCACACAGTTATGCGATACTGGACTCTGAACTTTTTCTGAGAGAACCACTTGAGACTGTGACATAGGTGACTGGCAATTGTTGCTCTCAACTTCTGCTGTACACTCGGTATCGCAGAACAATCCACTATCGCTGATCTAACCGACAAAGAGTTAATTAGAAAGACAGTTCACTTTGTAGTCATAAAGTTATTTGTAGTCAATAAGAAGGAAGTTATTGTTTGCCTTATTTACAAAATTTAACATTATTTACAAAAATAAAGCTGAAGGAAAGGTTACCACTTCAGCTTGCTCTATAAAAAAAAAAAACAATATACAAACCAAACTGGTGCTGACTTACTTCGCTTTCTCCTTCGCTACTCTCTTCATCACCCTCCTCCTCATCATCTCCATAATCTTCGGATTCCTCGTCTTGTGGTAACACTGAATGCATAGGATCCAAGGAACTCGGTCCTGGAACTCCCTCGATTCCCTCAATTGGACTAGGACTAGCACCGCCTAGCTTATTATTGTCAGATATATTGTTGGAGGATGAAGGAGGGACAGACATTACTATACGTAGTGTTGGGTTTATAGGTATAGTAACTGTACCTAAGCACAAAGGTCAGCCATTAGCATAATTAGAATACAAATTGATATGCGATATCTTTTACTTCATTTGTTATTTTCGTACACAAATAGATGATAATTTCGATCGTCATGTGAGAATATTTTTACATGATGTAAGAATATTCTTACATCATGATTTTAACATGCGATTTTAATGGAAAACAGCGTGTCGTTATCTCATCCTATCGCGAGATCGGAATTTCGAGCTGATCGAAAATAAGTTTAAAAAAAAGGAAAAGAAGTCAGATGAAACTCGCGAATGAAAATCCGAGGAATGACTAATTATCACCGTTGCCGCGAGGATTCAACCCAACCTTGAATCCTCCGCACCGTAAACACGCGGTCGCGATTCATAACTCAACATGTATATTGTAAAATATTGCGATCGGACGAAGGTACACTGATAACGACGAGCTGATGGCCACACCCCATGTATCCTCGTAAACGACGCGACGCGGATTCGCGACAAGCTGCGTGCGACAAAAGGGATTACGAGAAGCTGCGTAAAACGTAAAACAGGGGAGGGGTCTATACTTGGGACGAGCGCCGTTCCCGGTCGTCAGCCTTTTTTGGTCGATCGACGACGACGGTCCCCCGACGTGATGGGGGTTGTTAGGGGTCCGGTCCGTCCGGTGCGTGTCGGTGATGTCGGTGACAACGTGATGCCTCTATCAAAGGAG